TTAAATCTGATCACATTCTAGAGTCAAGATAACCAGATATTCAATTACTTATAAAATTTTATAAATATAAAAAGGAATTTTGGTACGATCAAAATGCATTTTGTATGTATATACTTTTTTGTTGATACAACCAAACAAAATATTTTCCTCAATAAAAGGATATTATTTCTTATTTGCAATAAAAACACATTCAGATTCAGATATTTTGCATATGAAAAAAGGAAATTGACAAAAATTCTCTTTCAAGCAGTTTGTTTTCACGATATCTTTTTCTTAAATTTTATGGATATGCTATACCAATAAAAATTTAACTGAAGATTCGCTCAAAATCAGGCAGATTTAAATATTCCGTAATCATATATGAGCACGTGCTGCTGACGAGAAATGAAAAAAAAATGTAATTACCCGGCCGTGTAATTAAACGCATTTTCCCGGCCGATCTTCTTGCTGCGCCATCGCGCGTCAATTGCACAGCTTTTGATCGGCTGTCCATTGATTCGCGATCGACACGGTGAAGTCGTCAAGCAGCACCGGCCGTTCATCACACACAATTCGCGCGAGTCACGTTACCCACTCGTTCCCGTTCTCGTTTACTTCGCGTACCGCTAATCTGGATCTCTCATCTCGAGCGAGCTCCCTTAGCGGCAATCTGCGGCGTGCGGTCTGCGAAGTCCCTTCGTTTTATTGAGTCATATTCCCTCGTACTCGATAAGCCGGACATTCCTTCCCGTCGTGTCGTCGAATCGAATAAAATTAACGATAATATTAAAACACCACGCGCTGTAATATTTTATCACGACAACAAAACGATTTACATTGATTAATTTATGTTACGTCGATGGCGAGCGAAATGTTAATGACTAATTAATAGATTAATAGATTTTAATTAATAGATTTTTGTTTGTTCTTTATCTAAAGCGCATGTGCCAATTTAATTGTTTCAAGTGATATGATACGGAATATAAAGTGATTGAACTTTATTTGTGTCCGATATTTCATGTTATCAGACGCTAATTTTTTTTTAAGTTTATCAAAGATTATTCTCTCAGTATGGAATAAAATTTACGAAAAAAAAATTGATTAAAAACGTCGTTAACATCTTGCGCCAAGTCGAGCTGCGGTTGTTCGAATGAACGCGCCAAGAAAATCTCGCAAAAAGTAGCAAAGTACAACGCGATAAAACGCAAGACGTACGTTCGCATTTGCGATCATAATCGTAAACGTTTTCGCAGCACGCGCGTATGGGTATAAGGTAACGCCGACAGACACGCTAATTTACTTAAAAGAGATTAGAAGAAGGCGAGAGATACGACACGAGCGGGGAAGGGAAGATATGCAAATCCGCGCGGAAGAGTTCGCCTGTGGCAGGCTAAAGCGTACAGCCGAAACGACCTGTTGCACCTCGCCGCGGAGGGGGCGAGGGGCGAAGCGGGTGGAAATTTGCACCACGTCCGACGATGTCCGATAAGATCGCCGATAGTTAACTTACTGTCGGTTTCGCGCGCCTAATACGAGAATGGCCGTAGAGAAAACGCGACGGCGAAAACACACGTGGTATCCACGCCGATAAATACATCGCACGAAACTATAATATTATACAACTCGACGTATCCCAACATCGTGGGATACTCGTTTCGTGAAAGATCTTTTCTTTGCCCAGGTGATATAGTCTCCTTTCTAACTGCGTCGTTTCTTTGATTTCGTTCCATCGAACTCGAATGATCGAGATCGGAATAGGGAATTAAGAGAGATCTTTTCTTACGGGAAATTTGCTCGATTATTTTGAATGTCTCCATTGTATTGCAGCGCGTAAACTGTATATATTAAGGGGAAAAAACCAGATGTTTTTTTCACCTTTAAGTGTAAATAAATTCATTTAATGCAAAACGAAGATAAAGATTCAACATACACAAAGTTATCTTTCCGATATAGCTAATGTGTCAGAAGCTTTTAATCACGCGCTTCTCTTTTTTTCTTTTCTTCTTCACACCTCTAAACCAGAATTTACGTCAGTCCGATTAGTTTTCAAGACATGTAAATATCCTTAATTATAAACTCTGCTCCGACTCTATTCATTCGCCAAGTGCGTCTGTCTCTCCGCACGGTTGGGCGATTAGATGTATCAGACATAAGTAATCAAGCAATTTGCAGTTCAGATGGAAAATAAAAATGTTACTTTTTTTTTATCGCTCCGCATCGTTACGTACATCCGTTCTTATTGAATACATCTCGAGCGAGAGCATAATGGTATTACGTAAAATCAGTGCGAGCGGCAACATTACGCATGCAACATTGTGTAACGTTAAACAACGCAAAACATCGGCAGTTTCAAACTACTTACATGCTTTTCATAGCTACGTTAGCAGTATCTGGTTTCGCTTAATGCATATGCTCTCGCTACGCATTCTCTCTCTCTCTCTCTTTCTCTCTCGTCGCAACCACAGTAAAAACTTTACTACACAAAGCATTACGACAAGTCCGGCATAAACACGTGGGATCAATGGCGCGGTCTATTAAAATAACGACGGTTGCGACCGCATGAACTATAATTTATGTCACATAAAATAGGACAACGGCGTATACGCAAAGTCCAAATTATATGCATATATAGCGGCAGTCCAATATTCGAAATCTCAAACTATTGTTGAAAACAATTACGGCGCAGTTATACCTCTTTCGCGAATTATAAGTGGATATGTTCAGACGCATTACGAAAACGTAAATAATTATAAATACAGCGAGATGTAATGTACGTGTGTAAAAAATGAAGCATTATGGCTTTTAGCATACAATACATGTCATCATTTTTGTGATGATAAAATACGAATCATAGGACTTTATTTCAACAGAGTGCGACAGGAATAAATTTATTTACAGTCGTAAACAATTTATTTACAATTTAAAAATTTACAATCGTAAAGCTACATAACGAGACAAGCATGTCTGTCAAAGAGAACCGAATTTAATTTCTCTCAAGAAAACTCACTGTTCCACGACTCTCAATCTGTACTTTATTATTCCAGACCCAGTAAATATGTACGTAATCATAAAATTCCCCAGATGCAATTAATTTTACATCGTTGCAAATAAGCTTCCGCTAAATTGCTCTGCCCGCAAAACGGACTGATAGTAACAATCTGTAACGGCTGAAGGCAATAAGCGTCGCATACTTTCACATATATGATTAAATTTTATGAGGCCCATGGCATTTACACGGTAATCGTGTCGCGCAACCCTAACGTATTAAGACGAAAGAAAAAAAAAGGAGAATATTCCGAATACGACTTCTGCGGCGATCTAGGTGGTTGCCCAGGGCTACGCGCGCGTGCAAGATCCTTGCGCGAGCAACAATCTTGCGCGCGGCCATTACGTTGAAATTAGAAGGCTGTCAGTCATGTACGACGATCTCGCTAAGATCTCATTATTTTCCGCGCCCGAAATTGGGCCGGCACTTAGGACGCCTCATTAGACGGCTATTAATATGTGAGAATTTCCGCAAATATGCAGAGCCATTGCTAATGCCGTTCACGTGTCGGCGGCCGCTCTCGTGCAACAAAGAATTCGCGCGTGTAGAGAATCCTCGCGTGCGGAACCCTCGCTTCTTCCCGAAGCCCGAATTAAGCGACAACTTGGAATCTCGCACAGGCATCCAGGTAGATGCACCATGATTCATTAATTTTGACTGTGTCTTGTTTAAAAAAAAAAGGACAATATCGAACTCATTTTGAAATCTTAAGACCCGGTTCCACAAATGTAAGATTAACTTTAATCTCGGTTTAACTTACTGTTTATCTCTTCCTAATTCTTAGATTAGAAAAAAGATAAAGCGAGTTTGAACTTCGGTTAAAATCGAGTTAACCGCGAATTGTGAAACCGGGCCTAAGAGTGATACCAAAATGATTTAATTGCTATTATTGATAGTGTCGCAACAGGCTTCCGCCAGTTTTTCACGTTCTCCAAACGAGCACGATAAATCTTCACGTACAAGCACTTCTGTTTTCCGTTACGGAGGGGAAAAGAGGGAAAGCGTGGGTAGGAATTGCGAAATTGGATAATTCGTTAACTGCAATTGTGGCTTTGTCCGTTTGTAGGCCCGCGTTTCCGATCTTGTGGGTGATACACGCGCGGCGGTGTACCTGCGGGTGGCTTTGCTTGGTTTATCGATAATAGCGCCCAGCGGGTCTACTTCCAGCCTGCATGAGAGACCCTACTTGCGTACACGCATACACATGTATAGCTACCTAATTACCTCCCATCGCATCAAGAGAGAAGTTGCGTGGAATGCGCTGCAGAGGGGGTGGAAAGGGGCCGGGGAAAGCTCGAAAAAGGGAAGGGCGGGCGCGCGCGCTGAAGAGAATGCGCGTTTCATTAACTGTAATTAGTTAATTTCGCTCCGCCTGTAGGCATCGAGGACATCCAAAGGTTCATTCCAACGGATCCGCTTATGATCTCTTAATGGATCTTATATGTTATTTTATCTTTTGCAAAAAATAATATGATCACATTATGGAGAGAACTCATCAAATATTTGACGACAAGAATTCTTTATCGGAACCAATCTTTTAATGCAACTTTTGGAGTTTCAATATTCAGTAGGACGTCAATCACAGGAAGTCATATAGTCAAGTCGGGAAAAAATTCAAATTAAATTTCAAGACTGGCTAAATTTCTACAAAGCGAAAGTGTTAAAAAAAACAGCGTTGTTGTTTATCGAATTATATTTTGTGAATTGTTATAAGATCGATAGTCACAACATTCTGAGAATGTTTTATCGAATGACAGGGCTCTTCCTGAATGACGAATGCTCCTGCTTGTGAATTTGGTAAGATGCCCATCGTAAATTCGAGTTGAACTATTCGGAACATCAACGTGGACAGTGTTTCGCAAGTCAAATAAAACTCCGCGGATTGTTTTCATCGACCGTTATGCATACTTGCGCGTAGTGAGTTTACATAATGGCATCATGCGCATATTACACGTGAATATTTTATTCTTTTCAGGAGAAGCCATTCACCTTGCCAGGGACTTCGGCTACGTTTGCGAAACCGAATTCCCCGCGAAGCAAGTCGCCGAGTACCTCAGTCGGCAGCATTGCGAACCGCAAGACTCCTACAGGAGAAAAGAACTTCTTCATGCCACCAAGTAAGCATAAGCACTAGAGTTCCTCGGGTAAGAGCTTAGCTATACCGTCCGACATTTTCAGCGCTATAATGCGCTTTTCAAAATGTTCAAATCAGTTGGTATCCACACAGTTTACTAATAAAACAATTAATTCAACAGTTCATATATATAAATATTATTATATGCAAATCTACAAATGTTTTCATTTCGCTTAAAGTTAACAATAAAAAATTGTCTAATGATGTCTAAACTTCTTGAGGAAACTTAATAAATACAACGTTACGCGCTGTCTTGGCTAATATGTCGCCTAATAATTAATAATTCATCTAAATAATAATCATTAAATATTAAAATAATATCGGCTGCCAAACAAAGTTTTTTCTCGCATTGTCACGGGAGCTTCATAATTAACTTTTTCGACTTCGCTGTTTCCAGACAAATCACCAAAGAGCTGATGGATCTTCTGAACCAGGACAGATCGCCGCTCTGCAATACGCGGCCGCAACATATCCTCGATCCCAGTATACAGAGACATCTCACCCATTTCTCTCTCATATCACACGGATTCGGAAGTCCTGCGATCGTGGCCGCTTTAACGGCTATACAGGTAACGAGATGACGAGAAATTATTTTTCTTTTATCACCATTTTTGCCCCTTTTTTTTTTCGCGGCTTCAAAAATTTATATGAAAGGGAATTGAGGTCTTTTCTCTAAAGATTCTCATTAAAAAATTCTGCTAAAGATTCTCATCTAAAAATATGATTCCACTGAAAAAGCTCTTACGGTTCCCGTTGCAGAAGTTCCTAAGCGAGTCTTTGAATCATCTGGAGAAGATGTATCCCGGGAACGGCAGCGGCGTGACGAGCAGTCAACAGTCGAATCTCGACTCGAGCAAGAGCAAGGACGGCGCGCTGATGAACGACATGAAGAAGTGACGCACAGAAGACCCGCCTACCTCGAACGTGGTCACGTCTATCAGGCACTCCTGGCCGTACAATTGAGCTTCCGTGCGTCCATCGCACTCTTGCGGAAAGCTCGCAGTGGACCACTGGGAAACGCGTACGCGGACACGCGCGCGGGCGAGCGGACGCGTCGCACGCGCTGCTGGCACTCGCGTGCGACGTGCCGCGTGCCCACCGTACGCCGAGGTTGGCTGGTCGTAAGCTTCCGTAGGCAATTTGACACGCAGAATGCGTGATAATACGTGCGAAAATGTGCAATCAGGGATAGTCGTTGAATAGGAAAACGGAGGAGAGAAAAAAAATTCTCATTTCGCAACGGAGCCCCGGGAAGCCGAGTACCGAGGGGCTCGCGAACTCTTTGTCGCTGGTCGCCTTTGGTATAGATTCTATTCGTTTTATCTTGAAAATGTCTAAGAAACGTCTCAGAAATCTTCCTGCTTACGAAAATCTTTAGCACTTTTCCTCAACCTGCAGCTGCGCGACTAAATTATTATATATCGACATGATCTTATAAAAAGTTGGAAAAAATAATTTTTGTAAGCAGTGAATGTGTGCATATATCTGTTTTGAACATGCACTATGCACAGAAAGGAGTCAAATTTACATATCTTATAGATGTTCAATGGATATTCTTGAGTCACAAAAAAAAACAGCACTCTTCAAAGAGAATACTTAATGCATTTTATAATTAATAAACTGACTCTCGATTTTCTCTCTTAGAATTTTCTCTGTTGTATATTAAAGTTTTTGAAATATATAATTTGCATTTGTAAAATATCTACGATAGAAGTACAATTTTAAAAAATTATGTTAATAAGCATTTAAAAAACGCGAATATCGCAGAAAAAATACTTGAGAATATCTGTTGAATATTTGTGTTATATGGAAATATATTAAGACTGGACGTTTGTTGGCATAATTTTGCATCTTCTTCAAAACAAAATATTGTTCCAAAAAGTTTTTCTAGTTTAGGTACAGTGTACCTAGCAATAATCATACAAGACAAACAAAGATATAAATAATTTATCATCTTTTTAAACAAGATATTTCGGAATATCAAAATGATCAGAGATAGTTATGATTTTTACAAATATTTATACAATCCGCCCACCGATGATTCACCGCAAACATGACAGATTTTTTAAAGAGTTTCTTATAGAGAACCGCGGTTTGATAATGCTTTAATCACATCCATGTTACCGTTTCGCGCACTTTTGAACATGCAGCCAATGAAGTTTAAAAAAAAATGGCTAATCAGTTATTAAACGGATAAATAATAACTTTCTTATCTTTTTATCGCATACATTTAATTCATTCTAATTTTACTAAATACTAAGATAATATGAATAGAGTTTTGTTTTTATTATTCGGTTATGTAATAAATTAAAATTATATCCAATAAAGAAACTGACACGATAAATAACGGATGTGATAAAAAAGTGCGACAAATGTAAAAATATAAGATCTTATTTGGCTCCCTCATTATTTTTTGTTTTTTATTGAAAATTTTACAGAAGAAAATTGTGATTCGTGGAGAGATCGGCTAAAAATAATTTCGTGAAATTATGATAGTCGAAAAATTCGAGAAACCTAGTGCAATCATTAATATTAATTCAACAAATTATTAGTATTACAACTATATTTTGCAACTTGCAATCCAATCATCTACAATTTGTGATTATTAGTAAGCATTTCACGTGGAAGATAAAATCCGCAGATCGTTTAAAATTACAAAAGGACACTAATTAGAAAATATGAAAGGGCAAAAATAATCGGGATTTGTTTCTTTGATTCTCTTTTAATGTATGAATATGGTTTATTTGCTCCCCTCAGGGTTACAAATTTTCACATATGCCTAATTTACAAACTATGCTTCTTATCTTATCTCTAACTTATAACTAAATCGCACGCTCGCCATTGCACGCACACACGCCTCCCCGGAACCTCCGCTTCCGTCGCAATTGTTTCCTCTTTTATGCATCATAAACAAAAATAAACTATCTTTCGACCTTTATCTTCTCCCCCTACCTCTCTCTTTCTCAGTCACTCCTCATTCTCTCTCTTTCTTTGTCCTCTTCCTCTTCCTCCATTTTCCCCTCATTCCTGAATCTCTCTAATTTCCTTAACCATTCCTCTTCTCCCTCCTCCCCTAACACCATCTCTGCAATCTGTGCCCAATTACCCGTCGTTCCCCATCGCCCATATTGATTCTTTTTTATTGTATATTTTGGATTATTTTACGATTACGAATAATTAGAGATAATTTTCATTCTTACTAAGTAAAGCCGTGCTTCCATAAATGAGACTTATCTGGACCAGCAATTCTTTACGTGTAATCAGAAGCGGTCGTGTACGAGTATCAAAGTGCAACTTAGTCCTCGGTAACCGATGCATCAGTTTAGTCACCTCTACTGATATTAATCATAATGGGACGTCGTGCGATTAACTATAACAAGCAAGGATATTCTGCCTTTCATAGGTGCACACACTCGCGTGATAGTCAGGAACGACGTTAAGTCCAGGGGAATCGCCAAGGTTGAAGTTCTTCTGACGAGATTATCCTCTCTAAACGTTTCACCGGAAAATGAGTAGAGTCATTAAGTCAGCATATTTGCAAATTTCTCTTTGCAAATATTTTTATGCTATTTTTTAATTCAGAAAGATTTATTATTATAAATCAATATGATTTATTATTATTATTATTATTATTATTGATAGCAAAAAATGCATTATCATTATAAATACGAATTGTCCTCGTCACGTTTATATTATCATTTGTTTCTCCTCCGAAGAGACTGCACTCGAGGCTATTCTTCAGGGCCATTATCGTGCCAATGCGAAACTTGCCATTAAAAAAAAAATGTGCCAATTATCGATATCGAACTATTAACGTAAGCGACTGGCGGCTAAGGAAACCGTATGCAGAGGAAACAACGCGACAAAAAGCGAGCGCTTCCCTCGAGCAACGCGAATAACGCGCGCGCGTGAAACGGAACGGAAGTCTCCTCGGGAGCAACGCGCAACGACACGCCCGTCGGCCGCATCTCGGACTCGCCAGTCACGAGAGATTGTATGAAGTACAATACCAGGTGAACCTGAGACATATCTAACTTTGTAATTAAATCTTAGGCGTATATATAAATATATATAAATATATATATATAAATGTAAGATTAAAAATAAAGCGGGGGAAAGAGAAGATGAGGAAGGGGAAGACGAGGAGGAGGAAGAGGCGTCCTTGACCACCGGGCGCCTCGCGTCGTTGCGGATTATGTACAGAATATTTGAATCTTTCTTGTGATATAATCGTACACATTACTAAGGTGTAAACCGATAAAAAAAAATACACTATACATTCCATGTTTTTTCATAGAAGTGAAGTATTAGCGGGACGATCGCGTACAGCGTGAGAGACCGGCTTGTTGCCGTATAGAATCGAACCATGCCACGAAGACTCGCGTCTTCTCTCATGTGTGTTAGAGGCGGCTCTAGGATCGGCAAAGCTTTTACGTAAAAAAGAAAAAGAACTCATACTGTGCCGAGATTTAACCCGTAAAGGACACCTCAGTGCGAATTCGAATCCACAAAATTTCAACTTGTGAGCTTTTAAGAAAATGGTTTTGTTTAACACGCAGTTTTGAAAACAATCAAGACCCCTCCCCC